TGGAATATTCTAGAATGAGTATATCCACAGTTAACTCTTTTCTAGAATGCTCCAGATTCTCCCATTTCTTCTAAGGCTGGGTAAACATTGCCAGTTGTTTAAAAGGAAATGTCAGAATTTGCTATGATAAATTAATTTATAGGTTAGGTACTTATTAATCATCTTAGAATAGTTTTGCATTTTAACAGAATGACTTGGCCTGTCTAAATAATATATACTCAGAGTTGACCTTCAGATATAATTTCTGAAGAATACCAGTTCTGGAATAACCCACTCGATTTCTTTCAGGGGGTCACAAGGCCACAACATTTCTGCTGATCTTGTTCTAAAATCTTATTAGCATGAAAATGCAAAATGACCACTTAAAATAGGCACTCTCGTGTTGGGCTCCTAAAACAGTCTTTTCTTGCTGTAATAAGCTATTTGAGCTCAGTTCATTTTGCCTCATTTTATAGTTGTCACCTTTGTTGCTATCTTGGTGTACTATAATGAAATGACACTGAATCAGACAGCCTATAATTTTTATTGCAAGTATATCTCAAGGCAAATTTGTAAGCTGACTTGATATCAGAAATGAAGCTAGAGGGAACATGCCTTTGTTTTAAGTTACAAAATGCCCTGCTATTCTAAATTGGAAAATAAACTGCCTTCTTTGGAATCAAGCTCTTCACATAGCCAATATATTAAGATATTCCTTTAAAAATTTATTGTGTACAAAGCAGTTTTATCAACTAAACTCTTTGTATTTTAAGAGTACTAGAGGCCTGATGCTCAAAAATTCGTGCAATAGTAGGCATTCCTTCCCCAGGCTGCCAGCACTGGCTTCCCTCCGGCACCCAGGACTCAGACTGCTTCCCTCCTTCTGCTGCCCACAGGCACCTAGGACTCTGGCTGGCTTCCCTCCAGCCCAGGCTTTGTCAGTAGGGACTTCTGGAAGACATCCGGTCTAATTAGCATATTACCCTTTTACTAATATAGATTATACATCAAGTTGTAAAACTATTATTTAAGGAGATGTTATGTTATTAAGAAACACTGATTATGCCAAAACTGGTTTGGCTCAGTGGATAGAGCATCGGCCTGCAGATTGAAGGGTCCTGGGTTCAATTCCAATCAAGGGCATGTACCTTCGTTGCAGGCACATCCCCAGTGGGGTGGGGGGGGGGGGTGCAGGAGGCAGCTAATCAATGTTTCTCTCTCATTGATGTTTCTAACTTTTTATCCATCTCCCTTCCTCTCTGTAAAAAATCAATAAAAATATATTTTAAAAAAAAAAGAAACACTGATTATATTAAAAATCCCAACATTTGATTTAATTTTTTTTCATGGAAAGGTATTAGGGGTGTTAATTTATTTAACAACTAGTGCCTCAGTGCACTGATTCGTGCACATTGAAAGGAAATTAATTAGAAGGTAGCCAGAGGAGTGAGACTGGGCAAGACAGGCTGGACATGCCCTGGAGCCAAACTCCCGAGGTCCCTCCTAGTCTGCTGGCTGTACTTGGGATGGTGTCACGGCTTGAAGGGCATCTGCAAAGTGAGCAGGGTCCCTCCAGCATGTGGGGTTCTTTGGCCTAGCCTGTGGTGATCTGGCAGAAACCACCTCTCCGACATCCCCTGATGGGTTCTGGATTGCAAGAGGGTGATTCTTGGTTGGCAAACTCTGGAAACGGGCTCCTTCCTCTCTAGTTCCAGGTGCGTCACCTGACAACTGCTGTTGCCCAGTCACTGGTGGTCAGTGCGCATCATACCTACCAGTCAGTAGGACGGTCATTTATATATATATATATATATATATATATATATATATATATATATATATATATATGTGTGTGTGTGTGTGTGTGTGTGTGTGTGTGTGTGTGTGTGTGTGTGTATGTATGTACATATATGTATATATACACACACATACACATATACATATACATATATATATACATATACAGATTATGACTACTTGGGCAAACCAGTTGTATATTTAAACATTAGAATAAAAAATTTTCACCCATAAACTATGATCTCAGCATAATCAAATTGAAGCCTGAGAGTTATAATCAAGATTGATTGTTGGAACCACTAAGCAGCTAGTGGCCAGTCCTAGCCTCTGTGGTTGTTGTTCATTTTTTTGTTTTTGTTTGTTTGATTGTTTGTTTTAGTTTTATTTATTGATTTCAGAAAGAGAAACGATGTGGGGGAGTGGGGGAAGAGAGAAAGAGTTGTACCCTAGCAACATGTAGCTCGCTTATATATCTGTTTTTGCCTTCAATTGTTCATTCATACTGTCACTTTATTTTTTATAAACTGCATATCAGTAGTTATAGACTATTTTAGAAAATTAGTCCCTTCAAAAGCAGTTTTTACATGAATTGTTTTATGCAGCAAAAGTGTGAAACTAAAAGGAATTATCATGGTGGTTTCATATAGTAAATGATATACATCAACAACATAAAAAAGCATACACAGTAGAATGCAAATTAAATTTTGCTAGACATTACTATTAGAAATTGGTATAAATCCTCTAACAAACAGCACATAATTGATTGTTTGCAACACAATTTTGCACATGATGGAAACTGGTGATCTGCAAGTGTATTCCCAATGCCCTTGCCCAAAGCTGGTTGTTGTTGGTTGCAAAGACCCCCAGGAAATCATTAGCAAACTCCGTCTAGAAACAGACTCAAAGGTCAGAGGTATACATAACATGAAATTCATGGCTCGTGGTTGGAGAGCTGTGGGTATTTATTCTTGTTCAAAATGTGGTACAGTGTTTCAAAGAATCTGTTCCCATTCTCAGAAGAGTGAGTCTGAAACATGCCAGCATCTAATTTTGAGCAATGTGCCAAAGACACATGTTCTTTCTTAAATGACAGTCATTAGAGCTGGGCACCTATACACAGTCAATGAATTCCAGAAGCATGGTAATTGGTTCTCTAAGAAAGTATAGAGTGGCTCTGAAACTCAAATATAAGGAAATTGATCATCAATTTAGAGATAATTCGGGAAAGATTGATTTGAAAATCCTGGACAATTTCACATTGCTCTGTAAAAAAGAATGCTAAGGTCATAGTTAGCTTTTCAGAAACATGGACTTTATTCCATTTGAATACAAATAGAAGCCTCGTGTGTGTGTGTGTGTGTGTGTGTGTGTGTGTGTGTGTTTCTCTATCACACACACACACTTAAAACCAATAATATAGCAAAATAAGTATAGAAATAAGAGTCAGAATTTTAATGTAGAAATACTATGGCCTTTGGTACCAGTCAAGTCTACATTTGAATCCGATCTCTATCTTTCACTGAAGTGTGCCACTTTGAGCAAGTCCTTTTCCCCCACAACTTAAGTTTCCTCATCTGTAAAATGGGTAAAATAGTTCTGAACATGAAGCATTGGTGTGAGTATAATGTATGTCAATTGCTTGGGGATGTATTCAGTTGCCATTTGATAAGTAATGACTATCAAGAAACTAATTTTTAAGTATACACTTGCCCCTAAAACATGTTGTTTGTGCACAATGTAATCTGTATATATAAAAAGCTAATAGGTTTAGTGTCTGACCATCTGATCGATCACTATGATGTGCACTGACTACTAGGGGGCAGATGCTCAACACAGGAGCTGCCTTGGTGTGCACTGGCCATTTACAGAGAAATGGCACCATGAACCTGGTGCCCACAAAGCAGCACTCAGCTTCCCCCCAAGTGGGATACAGGCCTGCCAACATCCTAGAGTGACAGCCCACCAAATCACAGCCTGCACTGATGAGACCCCATGGTGCAAAATGCAGCCCACAGTTCAGCTCAGCCAAGCCCAGAAATGGTGGCTGTGGGCTCTGGGTAATGATTTTACATAGCAACACCTGGCTTCCTCTCTCGAGCATCTAGCCTCCTTGCAGTTTCTTCAGAACACGACTTGCTTTATAGCCAAGTGCAAACATTTCACACTTTAACCAAATGTCTGTGAAGTGTTTCCCATGCCTCACCTTATTTGATCATCACAGAAATCCTGGAATAGGTAGATAAGAGACTCAATGGAATCCTATTTTCTTTTCATTAGCTAAAAACAGAGATTTAAAAAGCTTAGAAACTTGACCCTACTGAAAACAAATAAAAAATGGTGGACCTTGAAAATGACTTCGGGTTTTTTCACTGTACAGAATATAGTCAAACACTGCTGCAATTAAATATTTTATCCTTTGTTCTCCCTGGATGGTCTACAATAACAATATGCTTCATGTTGATATTTACTGCTGTGATGCTGACAATTACCTGAAAGAGAAGTTCTTCACTGGGCTGGAAAAAGTTTAGCTAAATAAAAAAGCAATTCTAATTAAGCAAGTTTATATATATATAGCTTTCACTGGCACCAATCACACACATGTGTTTTGATCTGTCATTGTTGATCGTGAATTTGGTTGACATTTCTATTATAGAGAAAGAGTGAATAGCGATATTAAAATATTTTTTCTAATCACTTTCCTTTAATTGTACATGAATTTGTGCACTGAGCCACAAGTTATTTTATAAAAATTATTTAACCCTTGTCACCTAAAAGAACATAGGCTTAAGGCTTTAAAATATATTGATTTTTTTAAAAAAAACACTCGATTATATGATTATCTAGAAATGCAATTTAGTGTTTCTTTGCTTTGATAGGATTGCTAGATTTTATTGTTTTGTAGTGCAGGTTCACACACAGAAAGAAAGAAAGAAAGAAAGAAAGAAAGAAAGAAAGAAAGAAAGAAAGAAAGAAAGACCACACACATTGCTTTACCACTAGAAATTTTCAACTTCCTTTAAGAAATAATTTTGTCTTTTCATGATTTATATATTGCCATACATCCTAAAAGCAATCCTCCTTATATATTTCATCTTAATGTTAATAAACAACAAACTAAGAAGAGCAATTTAGCATCTGTGTTCACATATATTGCTCTTTGTTTCCTTTAACTTTATTTCCACTTGAAAATATTCTTGTGTCTCTCTTCTCCCCTAATAATTAAGGTCTCTCCAGGACCTTTCCAAGCAGACAGACATTCCTTACGGCACAGTCCTGGACTCTGCAGTGTTTGAGCATGTGCGTATGAAGGGAATGAATCCTTTCGAGAGGGACAGCATGTATTCCCAAATGTGGCGGATGATCAACCGAAGCAATGGGTCGGAGAATAATGTTCTGGAGTCCCAAGCAGGCATTGAGAAGGTACTGGCTATAGTTCTTTATTCATAGTCTACTCTTTTGTCTCTCATATTAGAATTGCTAAGTTCAGCAATTTCTTTTTTTAAGTTAACTTTGATGTGAGTTTTCAGTTGCATTATACCTTCTGCTGATTTAAAGAAGAGTTTGAAGCGACAGTGTACCAGTAGAGGGAATTCAAACCCTCTGTAGTGTATGTGTCTAAAGCAGCGATTGTCAACCAGATTTAAAAAACAAACAAACAAACAAAAAAAAAAACATGCAATACTTGTCGATTTAGTCAGGGGCACTGACCTTATTTCTCTTAGATTGTAAGCAAATTTAAAAAAATTAAAAATGGACAACAGCCAGCACAATAATAGCTGACCAGAGTGAATGAATTAGAACCATACCTATATTTTTGTCAGATGGGAAAAAATGTATTTTTGGTGTGCCACAGCATTTTAGTAATTAGCTTCTGTGTGTAATGAGATGAAAAATGTTGAAGATCACTGATCTAATGGATCAGTGAATTCAAAAACTAGAAAACAGGAGCTTGTATTTTTGTTCAGAACAGGCTTAGATACTTATAAACATGAAGACTGAAAATGTTTTCACAAATCCCATTCCAAATACCATTCAGGTTATTCAATCCTTTCAAACACCTACTAGTATTTCCTTTTTTGTTTTTGTTTATCTTTACTTATGATTATGTGAAGCAATCTGTGAGTAAAAGTTAATCTTGTCGACAAAATTCCTACCAATGACTGTTTCTATTTCCAAAGGTGAAAATATTTTTTATTATTTTTATATAGCTATCATTTAAAAGTTATTTTACCAAGAAAAGGGGGTGTTGCTTTGTTTGTGAAAGCAGGAAGCTGATTTTTATTCTGGCCTGTGGTTTATAAATATGTACACAAAGGTAACACTTTCTCTCAGACCCCATCAACCTCCTTGAGAGAACTGCATGGTTTTTGCTTAAGATTGTTCCAGTGGCTAGCCTAGTAAAAATCACAATGGTTGATAGTTAATAAAAATTATTGAATGAACAAATAAATGAATAAGCGAGTGAATGCATGAATGGATCAGCAGCAACGGTGGCATACACTTTTTCTCTTTAACAGAATAATTTGGATCCCATGTCTGAGTTCCTTGTCCAAAAGCAAACTCAAAAACACTATGTTGGAGAATGTTTTGATGACTATCAATGTTATTCTGCCATGGATTTTATCGTTATTCTGTGCCTGTTCAGATGACATTATTTGTCTGTTACTGCTATTGCTGTGGTCCACTAGAGTCAGCCTGGTGATTTTTGCAGTCACTACATTGATATCATTATTTAAAGAAACTGATGCTGCTGACATAAACCTCTTTGCAAGCACCGCCTTTAAGGAAGTGAATGTCCTTGAAATATTAGCAATGGCCTCCAACTCCCTCATTCTTATATTAGTCCCCATTTCCCAGGGCCCAGGTATGGATCCCAGTGTTTCTATTTTGGATGAATGGATCTATATGTTATCTGAAGGAGAAGGGAGAGTAGGCATTTTAGGGTTTACTAGTGACTCATAGGATATGAATGAATTTAAGCCCACAATAAATATACTAAATGGATTTTGAAAGATTTTTTTCAAATTGTCTGCTATTAAAAATAAATTTGTTTTCTTGAGAATGAATATAAACTTTACAACTACAAGACATTATTACGGTACTTAATAGTCCTAAGGTTAACTTAAAATTGTCACATAACAAAAAAGATAATGCAATAAAAGAAGTAGAGAATGATTTCTGTTCCCTGATAGTCTGCTAATATTATAAAAACGACTTATGAATTTAAAAATGGCAAATCAAATCTCCCAGTATTTATTACATCACATTTATTCAGTTTTCTAATTTATAGAGGGGTATTAAAGAATGTCTTTTGGAATTCATAATGGAAAATATCAACATGAAATTTGCTTTAATATATATTTCAACCAAAATCACAGACAGGTGACAATTGACTAGACAGAGAAGAGGTAATAATAATAAAATGAATTTTGGTTTAGTTTGCAAGATCTTGCCCAGCTTCTATTAAAATAAAACCTACCAACCAACAATAACCTTTTCACCTGTGAAAGCTCAGTGGGAGCGCATGAGAACACATAAAATGCAATTGTGGATTCTTCCTCAAGCAACTAGCCTTGCACATCCCACATAGCAGTTTCCTGTTCTCTGTCATTGCCTTCTAATTTGTGCAGGCTGAAGGGACCTCAGAGGTCAATATTCCACCGAAGACCAAACTTCTACAGTATCTTGGCCATGAATTTGCAGATACGGTATATAGTAACTGCCTTCCAGGAAAGCCTGCCTCATTGTGAAAAACAATCCTCACAATCTGATTATAACTTTATATATCCAATTAATGTCTCAGGTTCTGTTTGTTCTTAATTGTGTTACTAGTCTCATTAACTTTCTCTTATTTGAAGATAGGTCCAGATTCTTTCCAACATCTTTATTCTGCTCTTACTGAAGAAACCTAAGTGAGGGTTAAGTAAATGAGTTCTGATTTGCTGTTATTGGGAGACTTGCACCTAAATCAAGCTAGCCTAAATAAACTAAAACAAACTTGTTTTTGCTTTCTTCTTCCCAGGATGTTTTGCATAAAAGTGGGATTTGAAAAGTATAACTGAATTTTTAATGCATGTATTAAACAATTATTTATTGAGCACCCACTATGAGTCAGCCACTATTTTAGTCACTGTCGTGAACATAAATGAAAACAAAATGCCTTCTTGGAGTTTAGTGAAGAAAGTATACAATAAATAAGATAAATAAAATGTTACATTTTAGTAGTAATATGTGTTAAAGAGAAAAACAGAGGAGGAGAAGGAGAGAGGGACATGGAGAAGATGACCTGTTTTGTTACATCAGATGACAAGGGAAGTCTTCACTAAGGAAGTGACACTGGAATAAAGACTTGAAGCAGGTGGTGAAGAGAGGGATTGCGGGAGAGGGAGAAGAGGAGAGAGAAATCTTGGTGAAGTTGAAGTGTTTCCAGACAGATGGGTCAGCCAATGAAAAGGTCCTGGGTGGGGGGATGTCTGAATATTCTAACTATGAGAGAGGCCAGTGTAACTTCAGCAATAAGGGATAATATCAAAAGTGTAACATAGTCAGAGAGGTGGTAGGGAGAAGGCAAATCATACAGGATTTTATTACAGCACTAGAGGACTGGTATATAAAATTTGTGCAGGGGGGATTGGGTGGGGGTCCCCTCAGCCTGGAGGTACCTCTCCAATCCAGGACCCCTTGAGGGATGTCTGACTGCAATCAGACATCCCTCTCACAATCCTGGAACACTTGTTCCTAACTCCTCACCTGCCTGCCTGCCCCAACCAGTCTTATCATCCCTCACTGCCTCTGCATGCCAGTCTGACTGCCCTTAACTGCCACTCCCCGCCAGCCTGGCACCCCTAACTGACCCCCTCTGTCAGTCTGGTCACCCCATGCAGCCTTCTTGTTCAGTCATTTAGTCATCCTCATTAACCCTCCTGTTAGCCTGGTCATAAGCAGCCATCTTGTGAGGGTATGAGGGTAAATTTGCATATTACCTCTTTATTATATAGGATAGGCCTGGGGGTTACCTGCATCAACATCACTTGTTGGAATGCAGACTCTTAGGTCTCATCTCAGCTCTTCTGAATGTAAATTTCATTCTAACAAGATTCATAGCATGCTAAAGTCTGAGAACATATGCTGTACAGAACTGTATATTAAGTGGACTTTTACTCTGTAATACATGATACTTACTTAGGAAGTTTTGAACATAATAACATGGTCTAATTAATATTTTGGTAAATTATGTCTGTTCTATTGAGAAAAACAGAAGATGTCAATGTAGAAACTGGAAACCAATTAGGAGGTCAATATGATGACTCAGAAATTCTGAAATTATACCATTGAAAATCAATCTCTGTTAAAACCCAAATACATCTTAGAATATTATAACTTTAAACTATTAACATTAGTACATTGGTGGAGATTTGGTTTATCAGATTATTTTAGGAAGAACTGGGACATGAGGCAGGTAATTTCTGAGAATAGATAGGAAAATTCTAAGTCATAGATAAGGATCTGAGTAGGAATGATATATCTGTGTATAGCACTGAAATAGAGACTTCTCTGGTTAATAAGAGGGCAATATTTATTATCTGATAAACTATTATAATTCAAATGTGAGAAACAAATTATTCCAGAACTTCAGCAATAAAGGCTACTAGGGAAAAAAAGAAAAGCAGGATTGGTAGGATTATAACTTCTGCCCTAGCTAGAGGACTTCAATGTTAAGTAAATAATTCTTCAGACTATGTAGTTAAATGCAAGGAGGAGAGGGAGAGGAAGAGGGACTCTGAAGGATACTATGATAACAGGAAAATGGGTGGTGGTGGCAGCAGCATTATTCAACCAGAAAAATCAATTTGCAACATCACTCATCTACTTAAGTCCCAGAACAGTGTAGGTAAAAGGGAGCTGCCAAAGTTCAGTTGGGGCATCAAGGCTCTATCCATGCCACGGGGCCAGCTCTAATCCTAGCTGGAAGACTGGAGGATTGAAATGAAAGCCAAGACTGGAAGCAGGGAGACCAGTGAGGAGGCCATTGCTATAATTCATGTAAGACACAATGCTGGATGGACCAGAGTGGTTATGGTGCAATTGGTGAGAAGTAATTGAATTTGAATATCTTTTGAAGGTAGCTTTAACAAAATTTTCTAAAATATTGCATATGGGGTATGAAAAAGCAGAGTTAAAGATGAATCTTAAGTAGTTGGAAGAATGAAGCTGTCATTTTTTTAAGTTGTCATTTAATTCATTAGAGACTAGAATAAGTAAACATATGAAAATAAATGCTTAGTATTGGAAGCTCTAGAATGCAGATCCTCCCTGAAGGAAGAAACTCCACAAATTAATCCACCATGATCATAAAAATGTACATTTAAATAAGATAGAGTTTACAATCCAAACATGCATAACTCTGGAAAATAGATCAA